CAGGGTGGCGCAGTCGGTTAAGCGTCCGACTTCAGCCAGGTCACGATCTCGCGGTCCGGGAGTTCGAGCCCCGCGTCAGGCTCTGGGCTGATGGCTCAGAGCCTGGAGCCTGTTTCCGATTCTGTGTCTCCCTCTCTCTCTGCCCCTCCCCCGTTCATGCTCTGTCTCTCTCTGTCCCAAAAATAAATAAACGTTGAAAAAAAAAACAAAAAAACAAAAAAACATAGCTTTCATCATCTATAATAATCTTAATCTCTCATCAAGTGACAAGACCTCCCAGCTTCTTAATGTTGGTAAGCAGCTTCTCACCTGAAATCGGCAGTAAAGAACTCAAAGTAATCATGTGCCGGCAGTGGGTGTAGCTGCTCTTCCAGCTGCTCCTTGGTGAGGCTGGGAGGAAGCCGCCGGATGACCACCTGTAGAAAGGACTCTGGGTGGGTTTTGTTTCACTATCATTGCCTCAATAATTTGAATGTCACCTGTGTTTTGGTTCAGAAGGAGATCTCAACCAGGAGTCCAGCAGAAACATACATTTTAGGAAAAGCTAAGAAATACATGCATGGAGAACATGGCTGTCAAAAGGGTAATGAGGGCTGACTAATCTAAACGGAATCAGTAAGGTCAGAAAAAGGGGTGCATAAAGCAGCTCCTTTTCAGGAAACCAGACAACTCTTGGCATGACGCTTACTGTCCATGCCCTAGTTGAAAAATAAAACCTCCGCCTACATTCTCCCTGCACGCAGAGCAACAGCAATTCTAACAGCCGGCGGTGCACCTGTTCTTCCTGCCAAGGGACCTCCGCCTGCGATGCGCACTTGTTGCCCCTGCCTGCAGTATCCTCCCGCCGCCCTCCCTGGACAGGACCGGACCCTCGCCGAGCCGCCCCCTCGCATCGCCCGGGCCGAGGACAGAGCCTCCCGGTGGCCCAGCATCTCAGCGTGGCAGCCCCAATCGTAAACAACACAGGCTGAACGCACTCTTCTTCCTCCTTCCATACCAGAAAAGGCCGAGTTTGGCGGAACGGGAAACGGTTCCAGCTGCACGTCGTCCCCGCCTCCCCCAGCCGCTGTCCGCGGTGCTGAAGCGGCTGGCCCAGCCCCGACCCGCGCTCCCAGAACTCGCCACGCGTGGCATCACCTCCTCCCACCACTCCAAACCCTGAGCCCGCCCCGTCTTCGCTCAGACCATCCGTCTTCTCGCGAGGTTTGCCTGCCCAACCCCGTTCCCGCAGCCCCTCGCCTCCGCCCACCCACCTTTCTTAGCCCCACCCCTCGAGACCACCCCAACCATTGGCCCCACCCCCGCCAAGCTGAAGAGCATCCCTCTTCTCGCGAGGTTTGCAGGACGACCTCGCCTCTCCTGTTGAAGACCCTCCTCCTCTCGCGAGGCTTATCTGTCCCGCCCCTTCCCCACCTTGCTCAGGACCGTTTTCTTCTCCTCGCGATGTTTGCAAATGCCGTCCCCGCAAACGAAGAACGAGGCTGGTGGCGCCTCGGGTTCTCGCCGCGGCGACTCCCGGCGGAACTGGACTTCCACGGCCGACGGCTTCTCCCTCCCGCTCGGGCCCCGCGCAGCAACGGCAGCCCCTGGGCCTCCGGCCCCCTCCTTCTCTGAGCGCATCTCGCACCCGCCGCGGAACCGTCTCTGCCTCCCTCCCAGGGCGAAACCTCGCGAGAACTGGGACGACACCGCCCCTTCTCCCTCCCCCCGCTCCCCCGACCCATGGTGCTCCACGTCCAGCATGGCATCCTTCTGTCCCAGGGGACTCAACCTGGTAGTGCCGCGGGACGTAAAGCCGAGGTGGGCCCTGGCAGCCCGGGTAGGTCTGGGACGGCAAGGGGTCGAAAGGCCTCTCCCAGTAGCCAGTCGGCGGGAAATTAGGGACCAGAGCACGTTTGGCTAAGTGTTCCTGACAATTACATACACGTGCTTCACAAAGTATTTACAGCTATTTTATTTTCCAAGGAAATCTGAACCTTTCTTCAGAGAACAGCACTTAAGAAGAATGGAGGGGTTGGCAAACAACACAAATGTCTTCCCCATACGGAGAATAAATGCGCCGCAGTTGGAAGCAGAAAGTGGCCGGCTCAGAAATAGGGTTTATTCATCTCTGAGCCCGCATTCTAGGGGCGAGTGCCTTGCTCAGACCCAGGGCACCCACAAAACGGGGCCTGAAGGATTTGCAGCAATTTTTACACAACTGTTCGAAGCTATTAATGGGACAGCAACCAAGCCAGGTTCTCGTTCATATATTTTTCTTTTATGAACTTAAGAGGCAGTAGCACTTCAGATTAGAATGTATAGAAGGTCTTCAGTTTTGTTTTGATGTTTATTTTTGAGAGAGGGAGACAGAGCACGAGTGGAGGAGGGGCAGAGAGAGAGGCAGACACAGAATCCAAAGCAGGCTCCAGGTTCTGAGCTGTCAGCACAGAGCCCAACGCGGGGCTTGAACCCACAAACCTCGAGATCGTGACATGAGCTGAAGTGGATGCTTAGTTGACTGAGCCACCTGTGTGCCCCATCAGGTCTTCATTTTTAAATGCCACGTTTTTTCATATTTTCTATTTTTTAATTACCTTGGCTGTATTTGTCATTCATAGCATCTTTCTCCCAAGAACTTCTGAGCACAAACAGAGATGAAGGGAGTCACTGTCAGATACTGGAGGTAAGTCCAGGCCTAATTCTAGTGCTTTATCCTTAAACTACTCGCTACCAATGAACACACTGGGAATGTGACTTTTAAATGAGCCAAGACTCAAAAAGCAGTTCCAAAGCAGTTTTCTAAAACCCCATGAAGGGGGCAAGGAGCAGTTGTCAATATTTCATAAATCTAAAGGAATCCTATTAGAAACACACCTATGATAAGGTTGCCCACCCTGGCTCCATGGTTTTGTTTTTTTTGTTTGTTTGGTTGGTTTTTTTTTGGTCTCAAATCAACTCCGTACAGACAGTTTAGGTATGCTGATCAAAAGCTCTGATGGTATAACCTGTGATAAAAAGAAGGAAAATATGGTTGCCACCTAAAATCGTTTAATACAGGGGCACCTGGGTGACTCAGTCGGTTAGGAGTCCGACTTTGGCTCAGGTCTTGATCTGCTGGTTTGTGAGTTCGAGCCCTGTGTTGGGCTCTGTGCTGACAGCTTGGAGCCTGGAGCCTGCTTTGGATTCTGTGCCTCCTCCTCTCTCTTCCCCTCCCCGACTTGTGCTCTGTCTCTATCAAAAGTAAATAAATGTCAAAAAAATTAAAAAATAAAATATTTTAATACAAAAGACGGAAAGGAGGTAGATGCAGAAGGGGCTGATGTTGAAAAACGTGAAAACCATTCATTTGAAAAATTGGAATGTTTCAGCAGTCTTTACAGAGCACATATTTGGACTTTTAAAAAACTGCTCTCAATCTATTTGCAGGTCTTTACTTTTCTAATTTCTTGATATTATTCAGACTAACCAACTGAAAAACTGGCATTACTGGAGCCATTTTAAAATCGAGTCTGAGTGGCCAGTGGAGAGAAACTGCCATACTCACCTTTGAACTGGGTCAAAACCTTTGCACTGGGTAAAACGGCAGTTGTTTTAAGCAACTGTTTGAAAAGTCAGCAGAACAGACATCCGGATCACAAGTCTGGTGGTTGTGGACTTTCTGAAGACAGAATCAGCACTCAGTCAGTATATAACCCAGAGTAGCCTAGCCTGTTAAAACACCCATAGAAAAAAAATTTCACCCTTAAATCATGTCATTGCACCTCCCTTTGTTTTCCTCATGAAAACCACCTTGCTTTCCTGAATCTGTGCTCCCGAAACTGCAACTCTTTGGTCCCAAATAAATACTCATTTGCCTCTCATTGTGGCTCTTTATTTTCAGGTTGACACAGTCATCTAAATATCTTTGCTCTTTGGTGAGGTTTTTAAATTGAGATAAGGATTCTAAACCTCATACCACAAACCTACTCACATCTATACTAGGCCAAAAAGCAAAATTGTCAAATGGAGAAAAGAACTGCTGTCTTCAGAAAGGGAGTTCTCATTAGGCCCAAGTCATGTGCAATGCTTTGTGGTATTCCTGTGTCCATACTGTGCCCCCGTAGTGAAGCCACGGTTTATGCTATGGCTTCGGCCTGGAATGTCCTATCCTGAAGGACGTTCCTGAAGTCTTTCTCATCCCAACCCAACATCTTCCCAGCCAAAGTGATTCAAGATGCCCAGAAATTCAAGCATACCTCCATTTGCTAGTTACTACATTGTTTCAATGCTGAATATTCCCTAACAACCTAGAACTGTGCCTTCACTTAGGCAGGAACTATGTCTTTATCCAACTCTGTGCCCAGTCCAGGCCTGTAGGTGGCACCTACAGGCACTCACATGTTTGCTGTATGTGTACTGCAATCTGGACAGCAAAATGCCCAAATGTTTTTTTTTTCCCCTAGCCAACAGCCACCATGGTCAATTTTTAAAGACTCCTTGGATTCTTTACTTCCTGTTATTAACAAATAAGGTTCTCAGGAATGGTTTCACAAAAATGACACAATTTTAGAATTCAGGTATGACTATGAAATTATTCTGTAAATTAAAAAATCATAGTACAAATTTCAAGATACAGTGAATGAAATACACTTGCAAAATAGCTTAAGATTTTATATGAAAAAATAAGTACATCACAAAGAAAGTCTAGATTCCTACATACTGCCAAGCCTGTTATATACGTTTTCTTTTACATTGTTTTACATACACACACAACTACAGACAATAAAAGAAAAGAATCTCCAAATGTCAGAGTGAATAAAGTAGGTAACTTTGCTTTGCCACACATGAATGTGATCCTGGGGTGAATGCTTGTCACAGGAAAGGCTACATTTTACTTGGGAGCACATCTAATTGGTAAATGGCACTGGTTTAAAGCAGCAGGTGACCATAACACTCCCATATCCCTTTGAAAATGACAGCATGATCACTTTAAAGTTGGCAAGAAGGATGCCTTTTTAGTAAACCATGCATCATTATGAGAGTAAAATATTGGGTGGTATAGAAAACTACTTGACAGTACAATTACACATTACCTTTCTTTGATACTCTCTGAAGCCTAAACATTGGTACTAGACTGCTGACCTGAAAAACAGCTTGGATTTTGCCTTTGATTTCTTAAAGCACTGTCAATATGGTAATTAGGCTCATTTATCAGGAGTTTGCTTTTTCGGAAACTTAAAAAAACATACCATGTGATCAATGAAGAAATTACAGGAAGAAATATTTTATCTGGAAGGCAAAATAAACTTGAAAAAAGTATTAATACCTACATTTTTATCTATTTTAAAAATTACTATTTTAAGTTCAGTCATTTGATTTTCCAGCCCCAGCTAAAGAGGGGAGGCATAACAATAGGCACATGTGATCCTGATAGAGAAGAAATTAAAAAAGTCATTAAATAGAAAGATGAAAACTCAGAACCACACTATTTGAGTCTGAAGAGCAGCAGGTAACTCATGACCTAAGTGCATGACTGCACTAAACTGACATTCGCTGTCATAAGCTGAAACACACAATAGCTAGGATGCTGGGCCTTGGAAGCATCTATAGCTGCACTCAAATTCCTCAAATGTACAGTCTTATTTTTATTTTTTTCAATGTTAATTTTTGAGACAGAGCACGAGTGGAGGATGGGCAGAGAGAGGGGGAGAGAGAGAACAGAATCCCAAGCAGGCTCCAGGCTCTGAGCTGTCAGCATAGCCTGATGCAGGGCTCAAACCCACAAACTGTGAGACCATGACCTGAGTGGAAGTTGGACGCTTATCCAACTGAGCCCCCCAGGCAACTTACTTTAAAGACCTCCTGGAGTTAGACCTCAGGAAATGAGAGCCATTTTTTTAAATTAATTAATTAATTAATTAATTTATTTATTTATTTATTTTTTGCCTTAGCTTCTTAAGGTAGAACTATATGGAATACATGTTAGATTAAGAAAAAAAGTTGGTGTTTAAGGAACCATTTCAGGTGCCAGGAAAATTCATTTCTGTACAATACTTTGTTAATAATGCTCTGAACAAATGTCTCAGAAACCACAAAAACATAGGATAATATACCTGGTGAAGTCAGGATGAAGGCTTGCAAGGGTTACAACAAATGAAGCATATAACCCTATCCCTTTATTATATGACATATTTAAAGCTTTAAAAGAGAAACACTGTCAACCAAAAATTTTTCTGGCTAAACCATTCCTCAAGAAGGAAGGAGAAATTAAGACATCCCCAACAAACAGAGGTTAAGGGAGTTTATCACTGGTAGACTAGTACAAGTGCCCTTTTAAGAAATCCCAAAGGGAGCCTTTCAAGCTGAAATGAAAGAAAGCTACACAATAATTTGGAATCATATCAAGAAATAAAGAACAATAGTAATGATAACTACATAGGTAAATATAAAAGCCAGTATTAGTGTACTTTTGGTTTTTGGTTTCTAACTCCTTTTTTCTTATATGATTTAAAAAGCAGATGAATAAAATAGTATTTATAAATCAATGTTAATGGGAACAATGAAAAAAGATGTAATCTGTGATAAGAAGAAGAAAGGGAAGGAGGCGTATAACAACAGTGTATGTATGCTACTAAAACTAAATTGGAATCATTCAAATTAGGTTGTTATAAATTTAAGTCAGATAT